TATTACCATTTACATTCCGCTGATTGCCGCTTGAAGTCTAATAAATAATAATAAAAACGTTAATAACTTTTTCAACAACATTTTATTAACAACGTATTTACATGGTCAAGTACGATGTACCTTTCGTTCTCTTTTTATTAGAGATGAGGAAATATAATTAGCTAGATCCTTTTTCTTTACATGCCGTGCTTCTATCGTCATACCGTGTTTAAATACCTTAATTTGTCGTTCAGCTGTGGATATATTGAGTTGTGAGAAAATACCAATTAAAAAAAAAAAAAAAAAAAAAAATTAATCATACAAATAATCGTAAGAATGCACTTACTCATATCAACAAAAGATTTGATCTCATACGTAAGGTCGATGTTTAGGTGTTCTCCTTTTTTAAAAGTTAACCCAATAAACCACATGGACACAAACTTATCAGGTTCCGAATGTAACGGTGGAAACGCTTCTGGGTTTATGTGTGCTAATGTGATGTGTGGATTCCTTTCTAACGTACCTATATTGCATCAAATCAAAAAATAATCACAATTAATGCCATAGATTACGATAGTAATTATTTAAAATCAAGAAAGGAAATAGTATGAAAAAAAACTTCCAACTTTGCATAAGTTTACTTTTTTAACTGATTGTAATGAAAAGTAATTTTTCAAAGTCATGTACAAATAAATTAAGCATGTAACAAATAAATTAAGCATACCTATCAAATGTCGTATTTTTGCTTCAATTAGTCCACACCACTCCAGTTGATCCTCTGATGATGAACTGCTTGCAAATAAAACAATATAGTGTTTATATTTGCCAAAAAAGTTTGGTGGTTCAAACAGTTTGTCCCACGTTGCTTTGCCCATAACGATTTCTTCTGTAACAACTTGACCCGCTTCAAATGCCTCTTGCATTATTGTTCTAGTTGACAGTGATACATTAAATGTGGAATTCTGCTGTGGATAGGCAGGTGCGATTATTGGCATTACGTGGTACCTATCACCTACATTAACCTGGAATATTAAAATACATCAATTGTAATATTAATAGGGTTTCACTTACAATTATTCGCTGTCACTTGTTCATATGCACATATATCATGTATTTATGTAATGAACTTTCTATTTTTTTTTCTTTTTTGTTCTTTTTTTTTTACTAAGTTTACTTAATGCATTTTTTTGCAATTTTTGCCAGAGTCAATAGGAAACTTACATTTTCTATTTAGTAAGACTTTAGCTCTCACGATCAACCGGTTATTGTGAAATTGATTAATTCATGCAATCAAAATCGGAACAAAAATAGTTCGTCACGTTTGTTAGATTGTACAAAAAAACTTTATTAGATATATTACAGTATAAAACGTAAGTTCTTTCTAAATCACGTTTCTACGATAGTGTGCGAAGCAACCATCAACTTTTTTGCTTACTCGAGACAAACGTTCGTATCGAAACTGGCAAAGGGTGGAGGAGCAACAGAGAGTAGGGAGACAGAAACCAACGCGCGCGTCCCACCCAGCTCCCTTAAAGCTCAGCTTAGAAACCATTTGATTTTTTAACGATTACGTCGAATTTTTTTTTCTTTTTTTTTAAAGATTTTTTTTGTACGTGATTTTTTTACAATGACAAACTCACATGGGCAGTTACATTAGGGTGGTGCAGGTTTCGATTTTCCGCTATCGTTTAGCCATAAAGCAAGTCAAGCGCAGACAAAGTCTTCCTGGGCTATTGCTGGAAATATATAGCCAAGCTATTATCGTCATAACGCTTTTGAGGGACCACTTTTGTCAGCATTACCGTCGCTGCTTTCGGTTTTTGTGGTGTACTCGTGGTTTTTTTAAATCCATTTGAATGAAAAATAAGTTTCTATGTGCATTAAACATATCTCATTACACGCAGGTCGAAATCAAGATTTTTCAAATATACAATATATTTATGGAACACTGTAGGCTTACAATTTCGAGTACTCCCATCCGACGCCAAAGGGATCGTCGATGTGGACATTGTTGGAAACAATCGAAAATTACGTGCAGATCTCAATGAAAAAGTTGTGTTCATATTTTCCTTGAAAACTCCTTCCTTCCCCTTATCTCTGG